AGCCACCCAAAAACACACTTAAATCTCTTTCTACTGTACAATCTGTGACCACAACCCAAGTGCCTACATCACCAAATCAGAGCCATTTACACTGATTTTCTGCAGGCAAAGTCCATTCCCTTGAGGATATCAGACACAGCATCCTTTAAAGACACTTCCACTATTCCCTCTCTTCATCAGTGCTCAAGCAGTGAATCAGGAAAGACAGTGATTGAAATAGCATATGGCAGCATCGAATACAAAAATTTCCAACTTTGACAGTTTTAAGAGTTGTCACTAACTTTTTCTCAAGCTCAGACTTAGTGGTTTTACTCCAGCTTCTTTACTGTGGCATTAAGAATCAGTTTTAGTCCTCTGTTAGATATATAGCACTCATAAATATTTAAATATTCCAAAGTATTGTCCCGATTCCTATTTCAACCCATGCCCCTACTGAGCTGACCTAAGCAGTCTGTTCTATTGATTTGTGTGTGGGAGTGTTTGAGAAACTATGGATTATTTTTTTGTTTTCTTTTCAGTTATTGCAATGCTAAAATAGAAAAGGCATGATTTTATTTTCTATGAAGTCCATGAATGGTCTATAAAATACTGAATGTTGAGCTTAAAACATGTAACATAGCAAGTGTGAAGATGAAATTCAAAAAAGAAGGTAAGGAAGTTCAGAAACCCAAACTGAACTATTGAGAATAGGATTTCAGATTTGGAAGAAGAGGACTGAAGTTCATTTGATTGCTTCCATTCTCTGACCATTAATTACAGTTATTCAATTAATAATTCAGTGTCCTGAACTATTTTGATAACTACTCATTAAAAGAATCAAAGCTGATAATTAAAGGATGGGTCAGGGACCCTATCAACAGAGAGCAAAGACCCACATAAACAACATGAAGGAAGTACCATTTCATATTTCTAACAGACTATGAATATTCATAGCACCAACCAGGAAAGGACAAAAGCATAGGCTTGCAGAGCCCTGCTTTGTTCACAGTCCCAAATCAATACTACGAAGACTGTCCAACATTCTTCAGTAACTGTTCATCAATTATTTAAGGAGCTCTTTTGTTCAAAGTTTCTGTTTACAAGATTACTTTGTAACATGAAATGATTGTTTCCTTTCATGTGACTGCTGGATGGGGCTTGAGTTTTTTACAACATGAACTTGAAAGAAAGGTGTTTTTGTGTGTGTGTTGCATTTGCCATCTCTGGTCACAGATTCAAATCAGGATATCTGTGTGTTATCTTTCTCTCCAGTGGGACTCTGACTTCTACCAGACAGGTATTACAGGCCCAAGACATTTACCCATCCATGAAGACAGAAGAAGCATTTTCAACATTCTGCCAAATTGATTGCCAAGATCAAGGAGAAATTGTTTTCCAAGTTTGTCCTTGTTCTGCTGTCTCAAAGTTCTCACTGAATTGGAAACAAGAAAACACTTTAAGGTCTAGTCCTAGATGGTTAATTTTCTGTCCGTTATATCCAAAACTCAACCTTATGTCTGAGTTTTGAGGCGAGGGCCTGCTCTGTGGTTCTCTTTCTGCATGAGGTGACTACTTGGACTACAAAATACTCATAAAAGAGGCACTTTATCAAGAGCTTATTAATTGCTAATCACCATGCTAAGCTTTTTGATACAATTTAAAAAAAAAAAAAAAACTTCCAGATGTATATACCATTAAGCCCATTTTATAAAGCTATGAAAGGTGTGCAGAGCCGATGTTTAAACTTCGATTTATTTGCTTCCAGCACCTGAACTCTTTAACGTTATTTTCAGTATTCCAATGAACTCAAAAAAAACTTCCTCTTCTTCCATTATGTAGAACAGGAATGGCAAAATTTTCTGTAAAGTATGATACTGTAAATACTTTAGGCTTTGCAGACCACATGGGCAGACCACAATGAACCCACTCTGCTGTTGTATTGCAAAAGCAGCCAGAGATGACACATAAACAAATGCCATGGCTGTGTTCCAATAAATCTTTATTGACAAAAACAGGCAGGATGGTTTGGGCCTATAGGCTGCAGTGTGGCAACCCTAAATGTAGAAGAATTCATGTACTTTAGGTGTAACACTTACAAATATTTGCCTATTTCAGAGAGACTCTAAATGGCAAAGTTGGTTAGCACTGGATTCATCCTTGGTTAGCAGGTCCGTCATAGCCCATCACAAAAAATTTTGTACAGAAACTTTTTTCCAATCCTGGAGAGTTTATCTATGAAGCAGGCATTTTGGTCAGGTTGCTTCCGTTGACACTTTCAGGAGACGATTCCCAACTTTGTGCAATACATTATTTCCAAAAATTCCATAGTATGGGAAATTTTTCAAATAAAGGTAGCTGGCCAAGTAGTCATGGTGTCGTACTGGAGAGTGCACACCCGTCAAAGGGGCCACTGTCTGCTCTCCATCTAATAGTGGTGACATGGAAGAATAGGGGCTCAATTTTGCTGAGAAAGGCCTTGGAAATCCATGTAACATGCATCTACCCTCATGCAGTCTCTGAGCAAAGACTACACAGAGAGGAGTTGGTATGATGCCAATGTACATGGTGGTGTACATAACAGAGCTGCTTATAGTCCAAGTCCAAGTATTGAGCAGGTCAATGTATTTTTTTTTCATTTTACCCCACTTCAATGGTCTCCTTTAAACAAATAAAAAAGAATCCAGTTACTCTTCTAAATTCAAGTAGAAATTCAATAGTGACTATTTTTCCCAATTTAAAAATATTAGCAGCATGACATTTTTTCATGAGTGTACCAGCACGGTATAAGATAGTGGCAAAGAGTACAGGTGCTGGACAAAAACAAATCAGACCCTGAAAAAGCAGAGCAGATACTAGCTGGATCCTAAGACTAGCCCACCTTCCTGATACCTAGAACATAGGACAGTATATATTATTTTTAAAGTGCTCAATGGAAAATAAATCAGTAATTTCCTGTCTTATTTCATGATTCCTCATTGTATAATTTTCAGTAGTAACTATCTGTGTGAGTATAGACAAGTTTAATTTTATTGGGTCTTAAATTCTTTTATAAAACGGAAATATTCATAAGTCCTCCCAGGTTGAGAAGAAAAATGGATTTGTGTGTATAAGGGTGGATAATTTCCCCAACAATTCAGGGAGGTCTTGGGAAGGTTCGTTAAGAGTTTGTTGAATTTAATGTATGAACAGAGTTCAACTTTTCCAAAGGCAGACACTAAAAAGGTATATATGATTTAAAGCAGTAACTCTGGACCTGAGTGGGAGCTATAAAACCTAGGAGGCTGCTGGTTCCTTTGGTGAGACCCAAGCTGAGTTCACAGCCTTAGCTGGGCAGCTCCATGCTCCAAGGTACAAGAACTGAGGGAGTCTCAGATGCTGAGGCCACACATGCCAAAATTAGAGGGCCTAAAGCTGGCATGACTGATACCCTCATAACTCTCTCAGTATATTTGCTTTAAATTCTGGAAAGTATAGAAAAATGTCCTACCCACTTCCCTACAGAAGAGGACAAGGAATGGTAACATTAAAATGCTTCTCATGAAAACCCCATTTCAGGGCTAACTTCTGAAAGAGGTAAAAAGTATACTTTGAAGCAATAATGGATGAAACAGCAGCTTTGATACCTGCCATTTTCCCAAATGGACTGCTTATTACCTGGAAGTAGTTTACACCCTAGAAGTGTATCTCAAGGTGAAGCAGTGTCCTTTTTACTTGATTTAATTTGGGGTACAAGATCAGATGTGTAGGCAAAGGCTGACATGTACTATAAAATCTACCTACTTTTTTTTTAATTCTCTTTTCTTACAATGGAAAATCTTCCACTAAAGGCAGCAGAGTATGCATAAAACATCATGAATGTGCCTAAACTTAATTAAATCTCTCTAGATTTTATCTCCTTAATGCTACATAGGTTTGAGAGAAAAACAAAGTAGCGATCTATATTTAAGTCTCAAATTTTCAATATAGTTCATATCCCCCAAAGTAATTGTTATTTTTTAAAGTTATTTTTCACTTTTGCATTTAAAATTTGCAATTCTAAGATGTTAACATATAATAATTAAATAATCACAAAAACTTATATGTCATAGCCATCAGCAGAATAAATTTTTTACTCACTAACATGAGAGTAACAATTCTGGTAAGTATCCAGTCAGTCAAATTCAAATAAAATTTAGCAAACAAATGTGTATCACATATTTCCATTCTTTGTGTAAGAATATAATCAAATAGATATAATTGTTACAACTATAAACATTGTAGTAATATTTTCCCCATAACTGTGAGAAAACAGGATAATTAACAGTACAAAAGTATGTTTTGGGCTTTTCTTAATATATAAAACCTACCCCATATTATTTTAGTAGTATATTTTAATAATATTATGCATTTAAAATCTGGGTCAGTTGCTTTTCATCTGTAATATATTTCTGCATGACAGCATTTTGAGAATATGTAGAGACACGTCTGCTGCAAAAGTCATTAAACCAAGAAAAAAAATGACTCAGATTTTATTTACATTTAAAGAAATAAGATGACTAACAAATAGTAGATAAAGAGCTAAGTTAAGAATAAATCACAATCTAAAAATTCGACATTTCAAGACTCCTGTCTAGGAGTAAACAAAATATTTTAATATAATTGACACAAACTGGATCTAAGAAATCACCTTTGATCTACGCAGAGACTATTTTATATTTTAAGTGAATTACCTCTATGACTATACATTAGCCATAAAAACCCCAACAGGTTTTATTTCTTTTGTGAATATGTCATGATAGAGCTTTGGCTATAAAATATTAAAGTTGATATGCTTCCTTAGCACTCAATAAAATGCTACTTTGGTGCACCAAAGTTAAATGCTCACATTTTATTTCTGCTAACCTGAAAATGGAACTTAAAATACAAAAAAAAATTAAATCATCAAAAGTGAAAATAAAATGCACACACAATACCTCCAGTAAGTCCTGCTATTCTTCAAGGTTTATAAAATAAATTTTCATCACCAGTTAATCAGAGTTCATTAACCTACATCTGCAAATATGTTTTGCCAAAATATTTTGTTATTTAGACCCCTTTCAAAACACTTTAATGAAAGGGCTAAAGGAAAAGTTTAAAAGAGAAAAGAATGAGGACCCTATGAAATCTATGTCCACATTCCTTTGTAAACAACAAAAGAAATTGACGACCCAATATTCTTTAGTGGCAACCCATTCTGAAGTCTGTGGTTTGTTCCTCCAGGGTTTCTTGGAGGTATGTTCCTTGGGATCCAGATAGGATGTCAATTGTGTGGCAGCTCCTGATTATAATTCAATGTGACAAAACCATGAAGCACAGAGGGCTGGGACAGTTAAGTGAATGCCACTCCTCATGGCACGCATATGCACATATGATGTTGCTGAAATCCAAGACAATTTCCCACAAAGTGGCTAGGATGATAATCCAAATAAGAGAGCTCTTCATCCTGTCGCTCCTCCAGGATTGAAGTACACCTCTCTTTACTACCGTGTTACCTAAAACAAATAAATAAATGAGTATTCAATACCACATATACACCAAAGATCATCCTTCATGCCCACCAACCTGCATGTTCCTATCTGTGTCATTGTGTACAGTTTAGCAATTTTCACCTTTGTCCATAACCAGCCTCACTAAATCAACTGTTCAAATTCTCTACATTTCTTACTATTAGGTTGCAAAGAAATCATGCATTGATGGGACTGCAAATTGGTGTGGCCACTCTGGAAAACAGTATGGAAGATTCTCAAAAAATTAAAACTAGAATGACCATATGACCCAAGAATCCACTTCTGGGTATTTTTCCGAAGAAATACAAAACACTAATTTGAAGATGTATATGTATCCTTATGTTCATTACAGCATTATTTACAATTGCAATTGCAAGATATAGAAGCAACCTAAATGTCCATTAATATATGAATGGATAAAGAAGATGTATCATATATATATATATATAAATAAATAAATAAATACACACACACACACACACACACACACACACACGCACATATACAGATACACACACACACATATATATATAATGGAATATTAGTCATAAAAAGTAAGAATGAAATCTTACTATGGATAGGCCTAGAGGGTATTATGCTAAGTGAAATAAGCGACACAAAGAAAGACCATATGATTTCACTTATATGTGGAATCTAAAAAACAAACAAACAAAACAGAAACAGACTCATAGATACAAAGGACAAACTGATAGTTGACAGACGAGGGGGGGTTGTGAGCCTGGGTGAAAACAAGATTAAGAAGTACAAATTGGCAGTTACAAAATAGTCACAGGGATGTAAAGTACAGCATATGGAATATAGTCAATGATATTGTATAACTATGTATGGTGTCAGGTGGGTACAAGATTTATTAGGAAGATCGCTTCATAAGTTACATAAATGTCTAACCACTATGCTGTATACCTGAAACTAATATAATATTAAATGTCAACTGTCATTGAAAAAAATTATTTTTCATTTACAAAGAGAAAAAAACATGCACAAAGGCTTCCACAACGTGTTATTACGTGTCCTAGCTTTGTATTTCGTAGAGTTATAAAACGCCCATCAGATTAGGTACATTCATTGCCCATCGGGTCAACTTGCACTTGCTGAACATTCTTTGTTAACAGTGCTAAGATTTTTTCAAATCAATGCCGATTAAAATCAGCAAATGTCACGATCAAAATGTTGCTTTTGTTACTTTTTAAATGTAGTTAATTTGCATTTCAAAAAATAAATTATTTTATAAAACTGCTGTATTTACTCAAAATGTACATCCATTAAAAAGTTTGGGGTTTTTTTTCCCCCATTTTTAAACACCTCAGGGTCATTACTTATAGTCTAAGAAAAGATCAGCATCTATAGTTTGAAATTTTACAGGTTAGATAATCTCTACACCAACTAGTAGAAAAAACATAAAAGCTTAAGACTTTAACATGTCTACACCATGAAAATATTTTCAAAGTAAATTATATTATTTGATAGTATAGTCATCATGCTGGTCTTTAGATCCAACGAGGTATTTATTCAAACCTCAGATTCGCTACTAACTGACATAATGGCCTTTATTAATGTGTTCTACAATATAACTGCTCTTTTGTTTGTGCTAGAATACTACAGCAAAAACAAACAAACAAACAAACAAAACCCGTTCTCATGGAGCTTACCTAGAGTAGGGGCTGGCGCATCTTTTCTATACAGGACCAGATAGTAAATATGTTCACCTTTGCAGACTATACAGCCACTGTCACAACTACGCGATTCTGCCTTTGTACAATGAAAGCAGCTTCGACAATACAATATATAAACTAAGAACATGGCTTTGTTCCAATAAAACTTTATTTATGGACACTGAAATTGGATTTCATATAATTTTCATTTGTTATGAAATAATATTTTCTTTTTGACTTTTTCCAACCATTTAAAAATGTATAACCCATTCTTAGCTTACAGGCCATACAAAAAGAGGCCAAGGGCCAAATTTGGCTAGCAAGCCATAGCTTGCAGACTCCTATCTAGAAAAAAGGATTGGATAAACTGGTAAATAAATAGTATGTCAGAGGTGACATGTTGTATGAAGAAAAGTAAATCAGTATAATGGAGAAAAGAGATATTGGAACAAGGAGGGTGGAAGGCTACGATTTATAGAAGATTGTCAGAGAAGCAGATAACTGAGGAGACACTCGAAAGAAGGGAGGGAGGGAGCCCCAACTCTGGGAGAAGAGTTTTCCAGGTGGAGAAAGGGGTGAATACAAGGGGTACCTCAGGTCAGTGCAAAGATTTGGCCTTTCTCTGACTAAGGAACAGGGTGCGACAAGGAATGCATGGCCAGATTACAACTTAGAGGACTTAGAGGGATCGATTGGCTAAAATAATGAAAGGGGAAGCCAGTAGGACCTGTGACAAATAGGGTGAAGGATGTGACAGAAAGAGAAAATGGTCTTTGGCTTAAAAAAACCTAATGATTAAGTTGGTCATTTTCTGCATGGGGAAGACTGTCTTTCTCTGCCTTAGGTTCTTCATCTGCTAAATGTAAAAATAGTACCTGCTCCTTCGGCTGCAGTGGAGAGTGAATGAAATATGTGAACTGAATCACATGGCCCAGTGTCTGTCGTGTAGTTAACACTCAGGAATTTGTGGCTACCGCCATATTAGCTCTTTCCAGATCTACCATGCATCTACATATGACCTAACAGTGTTTATAGCCCAGTACTGATCTACATCTAGGATGTAATTCTCAAAAGCAACTTTTTTGAGGGAGCTCATTCTCCATGCCCAGCTCACTTTAGAGGCTATCTATTCTGCAAGTTGGGTAAGATACTTTAGGATTATTTTCCTGTAAAAACTTTATTTTCCTAACTGTATAAGGAAAGTTCATTGTTATTTTAAAGTTTTGGTAGATAGTTTGCCAACATGCCAATATTAACTCCACTCTCATGTGACAGAGTGTCCTAAGTATTTTAAGCTCTGGCTGTAGGAATCAGGGAAAACAAGACTTCAGAGTTAAAAAGCCATCTCAGCTGGACCTGGAAAGACAAGTGGAATTCTAGAAGAGAGGAGATTAAGAAGAAAGCAGTGGGGTATGGAAACACATGGCCTACTGGATGAGTGGCAGTGAAGGCCCATCATAAAATGGATATACTCTCTATTTTCTACCCGTTACCAATGGGGATCCATTAATGGTCTCTCATCAGGAAGGAACTTGGGCAGGGAATTGATTCTGCTGGCACAGAAAGCAGAGTATAAGCCAAACAAGGGTGAGAACAGTGAGCGGGTGGGGAACTCGGTTATACCAGTGGTTCCCACATACAGGTTGTTCATTGAAATCACCCTAACAACTTTTTAAAGTATGGTTTTCTAAGCCTCATCTAGACTTACTATAACAGAATATCCTAGAGGTGGAGCTCAAAACAGTACATTTTTAACATGTGCCCATGATGATTCTTCTGTAGCCACTGATATCTGTCAATTATAATATTGTAGCAAATGAGGATGAAGATGACAGTAGCCCAAGAGACAGAGAGAGCCACTTGAGGACAATACCAGAAGGACTGGGTCATCTTATGTATTGTAGAATACATAAATAAAGGCCATTATGTCAGTTAATAGCAACTGTTAATAGTGGATAAATACCTGATTGGATCAGTTAATAGCAACAGTTAATAGTGGATAAATACCTGATTGGACCTAAAGACCAGCATGATGACTATGCTTTCCAATAATATCATTTAGTTTGAAGATATTTTCATGGTATAAACATGTTAAAGTCTTAAGCTTTTATGCTTTTTTCTTCTAGTTTGTGTATTGATGTAAAAATGAGAACATTAAAAAATCTAAAAGTTCTTGATATTAAATATGATTTACTTCTATTTTCAAACAATGGAAAATCCTGGCAAATGATTGGCTTTGGTGCTAAGACACCATCATGTGCTTGTTAGGAGCCTTAATACTGACAACTCAGGTTTTAAAATAAAACTATTAGCACAGAAAATGCAGTAAAACTCAGAAATAAGGAAATGAAAATTGAGGCAGGTCGACAAAGAGATATATTTTCCCACAAGAATAGCTGCACTCTCTCTGGGGACCCTGAAACCTACACAGGCAGAAAAATTCAATGCCAGCCTTTCATACTTGGGAAAGACAAGATGACTGGTTAGGGAATTGTCCCCTCTCATTTTCATATCTTCATCTAAGGCTATTAATATCTCAAGTTAACTGCTAACTCTTTTCATATTTGCATTTAAATGGAAAAAAATTCTGACATAGCTGGCTTACTGTAGACAATCTTACTTTTTAGCCTCTCCATGTTTTGTTGTGCATGAACTATTTAAGGAAAATGGAAACTATTACGTGATAGTTAATACCCACTCCTCTAGGAAGGCAATTTATAAGACTGCTGTCTCACCTGTGGTGTAAGGTTAGCATTGATTTTAAGAAAAAGATATAGCTTCTTTGGGTGCTGAGCTCTTCACAGAAGCCAGTCACAGCTCCACAAATGAATTTACTGTATGTGCATAATGTTTTATGCAGTTCAAATCACACTGACTTGGATTAATAAAGGAAATGAAGTTTTACAACTTCGAGATTATTCTCAGGTGGCGCATCACTAAAAAAAAGCAGCTAAGTATCATGATAGCTTAGGGAACTATATTATGTTTTTACAACTTTTTGAAGTGCCAAATGAAATGTCACTACCATTGAGGATTTAGCTAGAGAAAACTTATATTCCCAGCACAGAGAGTCAAAATGCCCCTAAAGGTTTGCTTCCTACAAATGCCCTCTCTATCTGCACATAAATAGAGAGGGACTCACTGTAGCAAGGGGCTACTTAGTCGCATTCTTTTCCAGAACATAGCTGGCTTGCACTTGTGGTCTTGTTTCATATTTAAATGTAAAAATCAACACAAATATAATCTTCCAAAATGTTACTTCTTAGTCTACAAGAATTACAGTGAAAGAAAGTTTTATTACTGATGGATGTAAGTGAGATCCTAACTCACAGATAACTACAAAATTTTTATTTAGGAAGTGGTTAGGGGGAAATGGCTGATAGGGGCCAGTGACAAAAAAATAGGGAAATTATGTTAAGGCAGGGTTTGCTTAGAAAGCACATTGGGTTTACATAAATTGAAAGTTAATTGGAATTGGCTTAGAAGAGGCACTGATAGAAGTTTTGGAAGTGTTAACCTTCTTCCTCCACCAACAAATGACTTCATGAACATCTACTTCCCTAGATATAAAAGCATATATCAGGTCTCTATCCTAGTCATCTGGTATCGCTAACAAGGGCAAGTTAGTTGATAATTGCAATTAATATAGAAAACAGTCTTGATTTTTAAATTACATTTTAAACAGATAATAAGGAACTTAAGTGACTTAGTATATACTATGAATGATTTGGGGTATGATATCAATATCAATAAAAATCTATATTTACTTTTATATTATTATAAAATATTTTATTTTATGCTTTTGATTATTTTTTATTATCTTAATGGCATTATATTTAAATATTTATTTTATAGAATCTTATTATAATATCTCATGCACATACTTAGAAGGAGAACTCTGGTTAGTGATTCAAAATAACCATAAAGGTAAAAATGTAAGCAAGCTGAGAAGCCATTCAAGAGTTATACCTCCTTAAGGGACCAATGCTCAGATAGCAATAAGAACTAAAGAGTGACTCCACCCCAGCGTTGTCTAATTCTAACAATCCCAGAATGTCTTGTGTTATTAATTTCCATTCAAAAATAGTTAATGAGACATTCACAGCAAGCTCTGGGACTATCAGGGTAAGTAAAAAACAGAAATGGGCCCTGACTTCACAGCTCTGCCTTAGACAGAAAGCTTTAGGTATTAAGCGAATAAGTATAGCAGACCCTTGAACAACACGAATTTGAACTACATGGGTCTATTTGTATGCAGATTTTTTCAATAAATACCTGTACTGCTTTCTATCCACAGCTAGGAGTCCACAGATGCAAAAGGTCTACTGTATACATTTACCTACACTATTTTATATAGAGGACTTGAACATCAGCAGATTTTGGTATCTACGGGGTCTCCTGGAACCAATCTCCCACAGACACCAAGGGATGACAAATTTGGGGGGAGTCAAAATTTATATGTGGATTTTTGACTGTGCAGGGGTAGGTGGTGGGTCAAGCTGTTCAAGGGCCAACTGTATACCAAACGACATAAAATATGACCATAGTAAATGCTCAGAGATAATGGGGACAAGAATCCAATCAGGGCAACATAATGGTAAAGAAATAATGGTAAGAAATAATGGTAAACTAGAAAAGAAAGGAGGGAAACACATTCCATGAAGAACACACTCCTTTACAACTGCAAAGGCACCACTGTAAGAGGGACTAACATCCAGCAGAGATGGCTGGAGCAAAAAGAATGAAGGGGAAGTAGATTGTCAGCTTAAATTTAAGGGCCAGACAGGCAGAGGCTAGTGGACTGAGGAGCCAGGGGAAGCCATTAGAAAATCTGGGGTTAGACTAGCTTAGAAGCTTTGCATTTCACAAAAATGAATGTAATCATTCTTTGGAGAACAGACTGAAAGGAAGCAAGAGCAGATGTAAAGTAGCAACTCAGTAGTCCAGATGAGACACAAAGGTAGACCCGACAGGGGTTGTAAGTACAGTGATACAGAGTCACGGAGGGATTTAGGAGGGACAAAATAACAGGTTAGGTATGGGGAGATAAAGAGAGGTTAATTTCTGGCTCAAGAACTGGGTGTCCTTCAGAGAGAGAACTGGAAAGAGAACAATTTGGGGAGAGAACTTTTGACTTGTAAGACTTGAACTAGAATCTTCAACGTTAATCTCCTTATAGGCATATATGTATATTTCTACTTTAGAAAATCATCTGTATGTAGATTCTTGCCATGCCATTATAATATACTGGCTTGTCGATTCTTATAAACCTTTACTTTAAATCGAGCTCATGAAGGACCTGGAATAAATTTAGTGGCCCTGTCTAAAATAAAGAGTTCACCCACCAAGTCACTGCTCAAGAAAATCTGACATAAAGGGTGATGCTAGAAAGACGACTTTTCAAAAAGATCAAATAGGGTGGCACTGCCCAAACAGGTTTACCAGTTGTCCTCCTGAAGGAAGGATAAAAGGAAGAGGGAAACTCCATAGTTAATAATGCTGAATTTGTACTTTACAATTGTGTTCTTTCTATACTTGCCTTTGTAGTTTTGACTTTATTGCCACTGCTACAGGACCAACCTGAGTAGTCTGGCAGCACTTTACAATCCTCTCCTTCCAAACAAGGATCCATGTGACACCACCACTTCTGGATCACAATAGAAGCTGGAAAACAAAGGCCAAGTAATGTTTGTGACACTCTTCCTTCTTCCAAACGTGGGCAACATAAAGCTCAATACAGATTAGTATAGTATGATGACTTCAAAGATTGCTCATAAGAATTATTTTACCATGAGTAAATTTAAACAACCCAATTAGCCATACACTCTACACTATAAAATGATTCTTTCCTTGCAGTTGACTGATTATAACATGGTTAGTGCGATCTCAAGCTTCAGGGTAGGCGTGACTGGATTTCAATTGGCTGTGCTACTTTTTTACGAATGACCTTGGACTAGTTTGTTAACTTCTCTCAGCCTCTGTCCCAGTTCATTCATTTGTAAAACGGGATGAAAATAGAACCTCACCACAGGATGTTGAGAATAAAGCTAATCTGTGTGAAAGTCTTGGCTGATTTTGGGCCCATCACTATGTTCTCAGAAAATGTTAGCTATTATTGTGTTCATCATCTTTGATTGTAGGCTGTGTTAATAATGCAAAGTTGTTAAGTGTCTGATGCTTTTTGTTGTCAATAGCAAAGATTAAAAGTGGTAAACATTTCCATCACACATGGTGCTCATCTGTCCATGCCATTCCAGCAAGCGGTGAGTCACTTGAAGTCAATTACTAGGTGTAAAGTGACGATGGGAAGGTCTGACATCTCCTCAAATGCCTACACTCTAGTTAGCTCACCTGTGAACTCACTTTCCTTCTTACTGCACCATACCCACAGCAGTGGGCTAAAAAAATGATTTGTGTTTTAAGTCCATGAAGCAGAAACCAGCACCCCAGTTCTTTGGGTTTGGGAGCAGAAAAGGAGAAGTGAAGGAAGCACCATCAAATTGGTTGGTTATTCTCACAGATTCAAAGGACAAAAAGGATAGTGACTGATTTTTAAAGGTGAGCCCAGCTAATAGGGTGGTATAGGACACAGTGCTGGGGGACTGGCAGAGAGGTTAGGGCGGGTGGGTAACTTATCCCTGTTTTTCTTGTTGAAACAGCAACATTTGATAGAAAATATCCCTCCATGGATTTGACTCAAACTACTACTGCATGAGAAGTCTGAAACTCAAGTTTAAGCAAATCTCTATAAACCCTACTAATTGCCTTCCATGCGTTTTCTAATTTCAATCTCACTGAAACCCTGAGGTTAAAAATTGTTATTTTCTTGCATCTTATATAGAAGAGAAACTCAAGGCCCAGAGGTATTGAATTACTTGCCAGAAGTCACATAGTTTGAAAACAGTCAAGGAGCATTTGAATGGATGCAGTAATGGAGTCCATGCTCTAACCATTAAATATATACCCGCTCTCTTGCACCAGATATCTGGAGCAGAAGCAATTCCTTGTATAGAATTAGCAACTAAAGTAGGTAACATAGCAAGCCAGTATATTCAAAATCCTTCTCCTGTCATGCAAATGCAATGTGGCATGATGAGGGTACAGGATGGTTTCATTATCAGCTAAAGTGGCCAGACACTGTGTCTACCCTGATGCAGAAAAGTGGCCATTGTTCCAGATTCTGGCAAAATACTGAGCTACTATCCAATTAGTCCCATGAAAACCAATAGTACCTGAGTAAGACAGATTTGTGATCTAGGATAACCATTTGCTTTTTAAATCATAAGGTGCCAACTCTGAGAAGAGAGTATAGCTAAATAGGTTATTTATTTTGTCAGAGGTTGCCATTGAACTTGAGTGGATGGACACATGGCGGCGAAGCCTGAGAAAGTTATATTCTTTTCAGCCTCTCAAATCACAACAATCTCATATTAAAACTAGATGGAGTTTTGTTACTTTCAAAGAACTTTTACCTACTATTCTTCTTTTGATTGTTCCAACAACCTTCAGAAGCAGGAAGGGAAGCAGATGGTTCCGGAAATAAACACCAGAGCTTTCCATAAAGTGAGTAAAGTAAGAGAGGAGGTATTAGAATCTAGATTTTAATGCTCTCTAGCCACTAGTCTTTCTACCAAGCCACAATTTACAATAATTGTTTAGATTAATAAGTACTACATCATAGCATCTGATCATATTCACAGTGCTGACCAATCATTCATTATTTTCTGAATACCCTGGGATGGTCCCAGGTATATATAAGGATAAATAAGAGAGGGTTCCCAAGCCTCAATTTAAAATACCATCTGCAGAACTGGAAAAGTTATATAAATGTTGACAGAGCTTGGTTATATTTACACAGAGTTAAAGCTGAATTTAAAATACATTTTTTTTTATTTTTAAAACTGTCCTTTAGACACTTTCTTTAACTCTGCAGGGGAAACTACTGTTGAGAGGCATTAGGGCTACATGAAAGAGTCGAAAGAAACCTTGACAGATGGGTAGTGATCCTGTCCAAGTGAAGGCGAGAGGAACAGTGAGACAGTTAATTGGCCTGCCTGGAAACCCCCAGACCCAAGGGATTGAAATTAGGTGTTAGCAAGGAAGCACCAGACATTCAGCTGAGGAGAATGATCTAGAAAGCAATCTTTAGGGGCTCTCAAGGCCAATTTAAGATTAGTCTTGATTCTCTAAGCAGTAGGAAGCCATGGAAAGTTACTGAGCAAGGTAGCGCAGTAAACCAGGAAACCTGTGTACCTAGAAGCGTTAGCCTGATAGGGGATTATAAAAGAATATGAGACAGAAAGGAGTCCGAAAGAGAGGACCAATTAAAGAGAGTGAGGTGAGAAATCTGGGAATAAATTCCCTACAGAGGAAATAGAATAAATCAGATTATCTCAACTTCACAGCAGAGAAATATTTGTACTTCCTTACTTGACTCATGGGGATCCACGATAATTTTGATACCGAACCCTAGAAAAAGAGCTTGAGGGGATAAAAATGATGCAGGTACTCATCACAGAAAAATATGTCAATTCTTAAGTACAAAAAAGAATATTATTTGCCTCGTGTTTTGTTTAAGGATTTAAATTTAATTTGTTTAAATAAATAATAGAAGAAAGCATATACAATAAAGCTCTTATTGAAATTATTTACTAGTTTTCTTTCATTTAATTGGAAAATACGAAGTGATTCTTCTAAAGACAGATTCACAATATGCTCTTTAAAATAGCAAGCTGCCTTGGAATTTAAAATATTTCTATTTAGAAAAAAAAACAAAACATTTTGGTACCTTATAGAAGAAGACATTCAGTAAGGTGCTCCTAGAAGTACTTTATCCATGATGAAGTTTCATAGTGAAAGACTTAATAGCAAATGTTCTTTCAGAAAAGACAGACATAATAAAAGCCACCATAGAGCTAAAATAAAAGTTTCAAATTCTTTTATGCGTTAAAGACTGACTAAGGAACTCACAACTAAGGTGAGAACCAACCAAAGTTTTGATCTGGCAGTGAATAAGATAATTAAACAGCCTGGAAGTTTAAGCTTTCAGTACATACTGAGCCTGGCTAAAGCTGAGACAAAGGATCCAGAAGTAGGATTTTATTAAAATAACTCAAGAGAACATCTGCCCACTTAACTGAGTCTTGTCTCCATAGGAAATTAAGTTTGAAGGAGGCATGTTTTTTTCCCTGTTACAAAATACCCTAATATACTTAAATGAAAAAATATCAAGTCACTTCTATTTTTAAAATAAAATTCTTTTAAAAACCTCATGCCTTCCTAACTTATGAAAACATAAAACATCCCTATCTTCAAGATGTCAATCTGCAATAAATTTCTAGTTTTATGTAGAAAAAAAGAAAAAAAGACAGTGAAGCCCTGGCTTTGTGGTAGTGACTAGTACTTTCTATAATGTTCTAGGTGAAAACGTAACATGGTTAATTAGCTATTTTGCTTCCGATGGATTTTTTTTTTTTTTTACTCTCTGTTGTATAAAATAGATTGAGGGATTTTCTATCCTTATTTTAAACAAATATCACCTCATTAAATAAAACACATTATGTATTTATATAGCTATTTAAATAAGCCCACCTTTGAATAAGACTAACAACAAATAGGTTCACTTCTCGAGTTGGTCTCTCATTTGTTGACTTAGTTTAGTTGTATTTGCACAGAGTGGAGGCTTTACTAAACAAAAATGTATTTTTACACAGATACTATGGACAGAAAGATTAAGATACATCTTCCTAGAATATATATCGTCTAGAAAATAGAAACTACCAGAATACCCTCTGAGATTTTAATGTATTTTATCTTCAGCTATTTTGTTCTTATCATTTTTATTTCAAGATGCTCATTGTGTTCTTTAAAAATTAATCCATTTATTAATTTTTAAGATCACCAGGTGGAAAGTCTTCCCAATTTATATTTCTTGTTCTTTAAGAAGCTATTCCAATCTGACTCAGGTAACATGCATAAGTTAGAGCACTATGACTTTTTTAAAGAAATCTTTTACTTGTTCCACAAATAACACAGTATTGTTATTTTCAAGTTGTACACAGAGCACTGAGGTAGTGGACCAATATGCAGAGACTGATCCTTTGTGATCTAGGTTTATCCTCTCAGCTAAAAGCCATCTGACACAAGTACATATACCTGTAGTGGGGAGCACTAAGGCAGGGTTCCTTGACCTTGGCACTATTTGGGGCCAGATAATTCCTTATTATGGGAGTCTATCCTGTGCATTTTAAGATATTTAGCAGCATGCCTGGCCTCTACCCATTAGATGATAGGAGGATTCTCTACCCTAGTGTAACAACCAAAAGTATCTCTGGGCATTGCCAAATGTTCCCCTGGGACAAAATTGACCCTGGTTGAGAAACACTGAATTATGATTATGTAGATGTACTCAAACCAAAATAGGAGGCTGAGCTAGCTCAGTAGAGCTGATCAATGCTTTGGTTTGTGAAAATAATCCTACTCCATGATAAACACCATGCCACCACTATTCTATTGTCTTCCTCCAATCTCCTACTATGGGCAATTCCACAAGCCTAAAGTTAGCATTCATTCATTCTCTCTCTGTCTCTCTCTGTCTCTCTCTGTCTCTCTCTCTGTCTCTCTCTCTGTCTGTCTCTGTCTCTCTGTCTCTCTGTCTCTCTGTCTCTCTCTGTCTCTCTCTCTCTCTCTCTCTCTCACACACACACACACACACACACACACACACACACACACCCTGGCTAATCTTGGGCTAGGCACGAAACCTATGCTAACAAGATGACCTGTCAAATTCAGAGACTACGTTTTTCCTTCTCAGAAATCTTAGGGCATTTTATATGAACTTCGTTCATAGCACTTCATCCCCTTTCTTACTGGCATATTCTGTTTCATTCAACCTCCCTGAATACAAACTCCCAGAAGAAAGAAATTAATCCTAAAATCTGATTTCATCTAAGGTCTCTAATATCAACAGCTCTGTTTATACCTCCAGGCTTGTCATCTACCATTTCCCAGCCAGACTGAGCTACTTCTAGTTCCCAAGTTTGCCCATTCATTCCTGTATGTTTTATTCTGCTGTGCTCCCTAGTTCCCTCTTACCTGGTAAAGCTATATCCATTGCTTCTCATGGTGCACCAACCTTGACCCTTCTCTGCTCTCCCTGGAGTCTTTCATTTACTAGAGTTTAATTGTCTGTCTTTCCTAGTAAATTGTAAGTTTCTTGAAAGCGAGACCTGAGTCTAATTATCATCCTACCCCCAGCATCTAAAACATGCCAGGCACTAACATGCTAAATTAAAACTTGATAAATGACCATATGCAAGATACATATCTTTCCAACTCTCAAAGTGCTTTTGCAAAGGACACCTTGCTGTCACTTACCTGACTGCCACCACAAAAATTCATAAAACTGCTTCATCTTTAAGTAGCACAGAAAACATACCCAGCAAGAAAACCTCATGAAATCACATCTTTAAACAGACCCTGTATCTCATCATACGGTCCATAAAGCCATGAAAGTTGTCTGCAGTCCAAACAGTAAGTCTCATCTTTAACTAAGTGAATTCTGACATCTGAGAAAAGAAATTCAGGTATCATCAAAAGGGGGAAAAAAGGCTTTAAAAAGTAACCATCTCCTATTCCTAAGCTTTTGTCTTATTAATCTTTTTTAAAGCCAATGTTTAGAAAGCATTCACTTTGACAAAATAAAGCTTCATTGTACTACACATTTATCTCATTTTATCATAAAACCATTCAGCATTATCTCTATAGACCTGTATTTTGATAAATGTACAGAATACAGTTCCCACCACAAAACAGCCTTATATCTGTCAGTAGAAGATTCGAAAAGAAAAATGCTTACCAGCTAAATAGTTGTCTAAATAGTTTTAGGACCCAAGTAACCATAGCCTTGACAATCAAATAATTCCCCATCCCTTCTCACAAATCCCAAATGTGTATTAAAGACACATTTCAATAACTCAGGGGGATTCATCAGTTAATTATAATAACAACAACAACAAAAAAATGTTGATGGGGGAAAACAGCTAATTTTTCTCCCTGTTTAACTAATAAAAGCTACATTTTATGGAAAAGCAATGAAAACACCAGATAAGTATCTGTGGTGTGAATTAACAAAAATGTGTGAGGATGTTCCAATTTCTATGCCAACTTTAATTAGTGCCCTGCTACAACGTATTCTTGCTTTTGTTTAATTTAAATGTAAATTCAAATGAATTTTATATTTTAGATCCTCTCTTTTCTTATTGACAAATAAGATAAAAGGAACATATCAGCAGAGACTAGGTCTTCTCGCAAGCCAATTAGCAGCATGATACTGCATAATTATTATAGGATAAAGATTAAGCAGGTAAAGCTAAAAAGCCCTAATGAAAACATATTCAGATAAGGACTAGAAGATCAGGGGGATAAGAAAACAGACATACATCCTAACTAGATTTTAAACTACAGCTTCCTATATACCTCATCAGTGACTTTGATCCGATAAACATTTATCGAACACCAATTGTTTGCCAGGCAATGCTAGGTGCAGGGGACATAAACACGAAAACAAAATCACAGTCTCGTTTTTCAGAGTTTGGGTATTCTCTGGCCACTAAAGTTGTAGATACTCCTAGAGTGGTGGCCAACATGGAATTTGCCCAAATATAAAACAAGCTAGTTTAGGGGAAGGTATTAACATTTCCTTTACTAAGAGAAAGATACTAATAGCAATTGCTACCCTACCTGTACTTTCCAGGTACCAAGAAAAGTACTCTGAATATTGTAAAACATGATTTAGATATATAAGACTTTATATCCAAAGATGCTAGGCTAGACAAAGAGCATAAATATAGTTTATGTCATGATTCTTAAGTTTCTGTGGAAGTTTAAAAATCTACAGAGGCAAGCAAATGCAGTTGTTACCTTTTAAAAACAATCTGTGATTAGAAAAGATTAATCAAATTATCTGCTATGTTAAAACTCATTCATTCACCAGCCAAGGAGGGGAGATGGAAATAAGGGACCCAGCCCCTGTCCTCAAGCAACTACAGACTACCGAGAAGGCACATGATCGACAAGTTTTTACAACAAATTGAGATGCATGTTATGAACTAGAATTAGGAGACAAAAGAACATATAGGAAATTTGAAAGTAGGAATTAAATAGAAAAAAAAATGTGTGTTGTGAGGAAGAGGGCAATGATTCAGGCAAAAGATAATGACAGGTGGAGTGCAGAGCTGCAAGGGAACGGAAAAGAATCCAGTTGGGATGAAGCAGAGCAGGTGAAAGAGAGAAGTGAAACAAAGTCAGATTACGTAGGGCTTCATAAACCACGGTAAAGACTTTGGATTTTATTTTAAAGACAGGTGTAAGTCACTGAAGTGTGGTTTCAAGAATGGAATAACATGATCAGTTCTGTTTGTGTAGAAGCATCTTTCTTGCTACAGGGTGGAAAATCGAACACAGTAGTAAGCTCAGGAAGAGGTAATGTAGACCCCCTAGGCTGTGGAGATAACAGCAGGGTAGAGAGAAGTGGACTGAGTTGAGAGAGAGCAAAGAAACAGAAGGGGTATGATTTGGATTCAATTGATAGAGAAAATAAATAAAATAAACTGTCCTAGCTGGGGGTATAAGAACTTAGCAAATTTCTTTTAAATGCCTTTTTTGATGTTAAAAATCTTCATTTTTTTACAGGTAGACAATCCTTTACCTATAATCCCCAAATCCAAAAAGCTCTGAGAATGAAAAGGATTTCTGTAAGATGGCAGCAAAACCTGACTTGAATTAACATGAGGTTCTTCACCCTGCCTTATCCCATTCCACATGAATATTTACATATCTCACTGTAGAAATATTAATATCTGTGATTATGGGGTACAACAGGAGAAGACAGAGGTTTGTTAAGTAATAGATGGTATATGCACTATGTTACCTTTATAAAAGATGACAAAATCTGAATTCAGCAACACATTTGGTCCCCAAGTTTTCTGATAAGGAATTGTGGATGAGAAATTTTTCACCTTACTTTCTAGCTGCGATCATGCCATATTACACTACTGATGATCATACAGCCCATAAATATGTGTCTGTGTTTGATAGCAGAGGTGAGATGTGGGTAAGTTAGCTATTATTTTTGATTGTGCAATAAGATCTAGAGTTAAGGATGTGTATGTATATATTTTAACTGCTGTCCTTTAGACATGCATCAGATAAGACCGAAAGTCTTCACTTTCAGGAAAATTTTATGTCACTATAGAGAAACTGCTACAAGGCTTAACTTCATATATCTGTTCTCCTGGGGACTAATACTTGTTTCTAACAAGGTATCTGCTGGAAAAAGCCAGGGACATCAAAAGGAATCAATCCCAGGCCTCCACCTACAACCATGAACATTAACTCTTTTTTTTTTTAAGCATTGGCATAGTACTCTGCTAGAAGATCTGGAGATAACAAATAAATAATACATGATCCCAAACTATTCTCAAGGAAGTTATTCCAAAGAAGATGTTTTATAAATGTCTGTTAAAATAATAAACTAGAAATTAAGAGAATATTTGTCTATAACATTAAACATGAGGTGAGAAAACCAGGCTGAGTACAGAGTTTGAAAACGGGAAGAAAAGCATGTCTAAGGAAGCAACTGCTCTGGTGGGTGAGATCTGGAGAGATAGTTGGGCCAGAAGAAATCAAAGCACTTTTTCCTGATTGTCCGGTAATGGAACTGTCCACTGGTACGTCTTAGGAGACAGCATTAATAACTTACCTTACTTGTCATGAAATTGGTGGATTTATGTTGATGTTCATTTTTGGAATGACACAAACCTAGAAGCAACCTAGTTTTCTCTGCATCGCAAAGACAGTAAAGTTGGAAGATTCTTAATAGTTTTAGGTCCTTCTTCGATATGGAAGTAACTGACCAGAAAAGTCTTACCTTCAACACAAGAAGGCTGAGCCCGAGTTGTGCCAGCAACCTGTCCCGGGAAGCAAGAACACTTGACTGTTTGTGATCGCTCTTCTATGCGGTTCTTGTTACAGCACCTGTGCACAGCAACCACCTCACAGGTACCCTGCTTGATTTGCTGGTGACCTGATAGGTAATGAAGGAGAAAAAGAGAGTGCTGTGAGGAGGAAATGACATCACCAAGAACATGAATGATATACTATGACTACATTTTCCAATTTCCAAGTCTTTGTAACTTCTGGTTTTGATATAATTTATATGAAGGTGTCTAGAGGTGGGGGGTGGGATCAAGATGGCAAAGTAGGAATATCCTGGGCTGACCTCCTCCCCAAAACACACCAAAACTATGATTAAATATTAAGCAACTATGTCTGAGAACAACCTGAAGATTTGCAGAACAGATTTTCTACAACGAGAATATGAAGAAAAAGCCATATCGAGATAAGTAAAGGGCCAACAGAGAGGTGTTCTACGATGGCAGGGATATCATGATCCCAGAAGATGCCTTGATGACCAAGGCATCTGAGACCCATCTCAGGCTCACTGCACCAGAAAGTGGAGCACCACAACATAACATCTGCTTGTGAGAACCAGCAAGGTTTATGTCGCAGAAACTGAGTGGTCATGGGAAAGAGAATCTTCCATTAAAGGGCCCATATACAAACTCACACATTCTGAATCAAAATGCAGAGACAGAAGTTGAAAGGTGCCTGGATCATATATGAAAGAGATATACTGACGAGTTTTAGGGTGTCTGCCAGAGGAATTTGTTGGGGCTCTCTCTGGAACTAGAGGCACTAGCAGGAATCATTCTTTCCTAGTTTGCTGTGTTTGCTCTCCTATCTGACCAGCCAGTGGTGGTGAGTACCAAGTCTGGCACTCACCATTAAGCTGCTAACTGTTCCACTCACTTAGCATCCCCGAGGACTCATCCAGCCCAACCACCTTCCAAAGCAACATCTTGCTTCCCCTCAGCACCCCTAGGGGCACTGGGTGGACCTCAAAATTGGGCCCTCCCACCAGCACCAAGCTGATGGTCCTAATGAGACTCCAAAGAAGCACCCCATGCCATAGCACCTGGTGGGTGGCACAGAAGCACCCCCAAAGTGGGTTTGAGGGGCCAGACCCCACACACCAACATACCCACAACATGACTTGAGCAGAGCCCTACAGAGAGGCCTATGAGGCAAGAAACTGAAGTCTCCTGCCAATAGTGAGCATGTAAATGAGCTTGTAAGCAGATTTTCTCCCATGCTAGGCCAGTGTTGGTCTGTATGCCAATAGTAATAGCATATAGAAGTGATGGTTTGTCACTTCCACAATTAGGTTATAAAAGACAGTGGAGCACTGGCTTGTTTGCTCATCATTCACTCTGGGGAAAATTGTGTTGTATGCAGCTCTATGAAAATGCCGCTGTAGCTAAGGAACTGAAGTCTACTGCCATCAGTCACATGAGTGAGTTTGGAAATAGATTCTACAGCCAAAGTCAAGTCTTCAAAGACTGCAGCCCTAGCCAACAGCTTATTTGTAATCTGTTTCTTGCCTCATAGGCCTTTCTGCAGGGCTCTGCTCAAGTCATGTTGTGGGTATGTTGGTGTGTGGGGTCTGGCCCCTCAAACCCACTTTGGGGGTGCTTCTGTGCCACCCACCAGGTGCTATGGAATTCTGAGGCAGGACCACTGGCTAAATTACTCCCAGATTCCTGATGCTCAGAGTCCATATAAAATAATACATGTCAATTGTTGTAAGCTTCTAAGATTTCAGCTAATTTGTTACACAAGAACAAATAACTAATACACCAACCCTGGCTGTACTTTGCTCTGATAAAAACAATGTAAAGAAGATTGTGGAGGGCACAATGTTTAGAAATTATTTATGAAAGACAACCTTTTTGAGCACCCTCAAGATTTTCAGATACATCTTTTACAAGCAATCTCATTTACTCATTAAAACAGGTTTCCCCAAGAATTCTCATAGGTAAATGCTTTGCTTGGTTTCCGTTGTTTGATATATGTACTTCAAAGAACAAAACTAATTTTAAAATAGTTGATAATTCAGATTTTTATCCATAAAAATAGGCCTTTCACAAAATAACCTCTATGTTATTCTAAATTTTTTCTGGCCCTTCCCTGTCATACTATCTTAAATGTTGGTGGGAGTAAAATTCAATTAGTGGTGAGAACAAATACTAAGGCTAAGTTCCACTTGTAAAACACATAAAAGACCTAGTCAGTAGCCAGAGAATCTAACCACCAGCATGAGAGACGGTTTTCAATTACTGCAAAAGAAAGCATAAAATGAAAGAAGTAATTAAAACTATAAACCTAATTAAATGTTCACAACAAGAGTGTTGATTTCCTATAGTGGTATACAATTATAAAAAAAATAATAATTAATAGCATTGCAATATTAGTAATGTAACATAGGGCTTTAGCACCGAGTAAGCAGAAAAGTGAGGACTGGGAAGACCCTTTTTTAGTCTCCAATTGCAAATAAGCACCTTCGGGTCAAATATTTCCTGACAGCTAATGACTAGCCATGTAAGGGGGCCAGCATAAATTCTTCCTCAGCCCTCTCTCACTGACTATCCTTCCCGTTAACTACCGTCTCAGTTTGTGCAGGCTGCCATAAAAAAATACCACAGACTGGGTGACTTAAACCACAGATATTTCTCATAATTCTGCAGTCTGGAAATCCAAAGTCAAGGTACTGGCTAATTCAGTTCCTGGGGAGAGCATTCTTCCTGGCTTGTAACCACTACCTTCTAACTATGTCTTCACATGGAGGAGAAAGAGTACTCTGATGTCTCTTCCCTTTTGTTTACAAGGACACCAGCCCTATAAGATTAGCCCCACTCTTATGAACTCACTGAACCTTTAATACCTCTTCACAAACCCCGTCCCCAAATATAGCACATTGGAGGCTTTGGATTCAACATATAAATAAATCTGGGGGGAGGGAGGGACACAAACATTCTGTCTGTAACAGCCATCATGCCTTAATTAGATTTTAAATGACCCTAGGGAGTCTATAATGAAGGCAGCTTTAAACCTCATTAAGAAAATAAAAGAAATATGCTTTAGTAACTTCTTAGGGGAGTCAAGAAGAGATTAGGACATTCATTAATAAAGCAGTTTGCTTAGAATTTTGTTGTTATTTAGATAACAATCCATAAATGCAAATAAATTGGTTTTTTTTCTATTTAAAACTTGTCTCTGAATAATCAGCTTGCTTGGTCTAGTATTGTATTCATTTATATAGTATCAACTACTGTGATTTATTGATTTTAAGATATATATTTTTTCATCTTTTAACTTGTCAGGAGGTGTCACAACTGATAGTATCTTACCATTATAATTGGCATTGCTTTTCTTTCTTAGAAATACACAAAATAGCAGTGTATCTCACAACTGACAGCATCTTAGATTTAATAAAATATGGTAGGTTGTAGGCATTATTCTAAATTCTTTATAAATATTATCCTGTATAATCTTATTAAAGTGCTATGTGAGGGTACTTTTTAAATTTCAGTTTTACATTTAGTAAAATGTTCAAAAATTAATTTGCCCAAGGTCACACAACTAGAAATTGAGTAAAGGTGAGATGTGAATTTAAGACAGTGTCTATGCTCTCATAGCATGAGAGAAAAGAATTAGCCATAGTAACTAATATTTTCCCCAAGTACAGCCAAAAGAACATCTCCACCTCAGCAAGTCACAAGTTTTTCTGTTTCAGTTTCCCACTGAAACATCTTTCCTACTTGATGACATTGTTTGTGGGGCTCTATATAGACAGCCTTTTCAGAATTTGTTGACACTGGACTATAATCTTTGAATAAGAATGTACCTTGTTTCTTGGAAATCTACAACTCCTGGCATAAGACATAGGTCCTCAGAAACAGGTCTTAAAATTGCTCAACGTATAACAGCAGATGATAAGGATCCAGTATAGTATACAGAGAGCACTGATTATAGTCATTTGAGCAGCTCGATAACAGCAGATGATAAGGATCCAGTATAGTATACACACAGAGAGCACTGATTATACTCATTTGAGCAGCTCATTTTATGACACTGTATTGGTCAGGGTTCTCCAGAGAACCAGAACAAATAGGATATGAGTACATATAAAGAGAGGATGTAGAGATAGAGAGGGGGAGAAACAGGAGGAGGAAGAGGAAAGAAAGGGAAGGGAAGTGATTGAGATTGATCATGGAGGCTGGCAAGTCCCAAGATCTGCAGGGTAAGTTGACTAGCTAGAGACCTAGAAGAGCTGACTGTTTAGCTCCAGTCTGAGTTCAAAGGCCTGAGACCCAAGGGATCTGATGGTGTCATCCAGTTTAAATGTGTTAGACTCAAAAACCAGCAAGAGCCAATGCTTCAGTTTATGTCCAAAGGCAGAAAATGACCAATATATCAGTTCTAAAGCAGGAAGAATTCTCCTACTCATAGGAAGGTCCAGGTTTTTGTTCTTTTCAGGCCTTAAGCTGATTTAATGAGGCCCGCCCACATTTGGGGGGTAATCTGCTTTACTCAAAACACCCTCACAGAAACACACAAAATATCTGACCAAACATCTGGGCTCCCCATGGCCCAGTCAAGTTGACATATAAAATTAACCACAAACATCATACAACCATATAGTATAGTGTTGCTGAATGGGGAAAAAAAATGAAAGCTGAGAACAGGCAAAAGACTAGTGGCTTTGTGGTAAATTTAGTTCTTTAAAGAGGTACAGGAGAGACTCCTTGTTCAATAAGCTTAGTACCAGAGAGTGGCCACTACAAATAAATTCACTTAAAACAAAGATACATTTTCCATCTTTTTTTTTTTTTACAGAGAAATCCCATTTATTTCTATAATAAAAGGTTTTAATGTCACCATATCTCCTTTGTATTTCTAATTTGTCCCATTCAGATTTGTTATCTTTTATCATTATTAAATTTATCGGGGTGACATTGGTTAATAATATTATATAGGTTTCAAGTGTACAATTCTATAATATATCATCTGTATATTACATTGTGTGTTCACCATCCAAAGTAATATCTCCTTCCATCACCATATATTCGACCCCCTTTCCCTTCACCTATTTCCCCTTTCCCCCCTCTCCCTCTGGTAACCACT